CAGCAGCTCAGAGCCTCTGTACTGTTCTTCTCCATCTCCTTCTAAAAGTACAGTGTTAAACAAACAGATTTTCAAAGTCCAATCAGGGAGAGTTGAGACTGCAGAAATCCAGGTCTCTGAGGATCATTCCCCAGCTCTGTCACACAGCTGCTTGAGACTTGAACCCTAACTACTACAGCAGGGGAAATTCCACCCAGCTAGTCTGAGAACAAAGTTATTGAAGCCAAATTACAAGTAATCACACGAAAAACTATCACCACTTTTATCAGGGACCAAGACTGGCCTGGGATGATCTATGTCCTGGTTTGAGCCAGGATAAAGCCAATTTTTCTTTTTACTGATTTTTTTTTCCTTTCAGTAAGCTTTCTTGTAGCTAGCAACAGTGTGTTCTGCTAGGCTGATAAGACAGTGGAATGTTTTTCTAACTACTGAGGCTTCAAGGCTGCACCTGCACTCTGCCAGCTCAGACACTATGGGGAGATCTGTGACCCCCCCCGTAGGAGGCTGAGTTAGACGGACAGCAAAATTGGCCAAAGATATTCCATTCCATATATCTACGTAAGCTCAGAGGAAGGTCAGAGATCACAGAAGACAACTTTGTTCCTTCTTCTTCTCCCCTTCTCTTCCGTCCATGGCCGGCATCCAGGGAGGACTCTGTTCATCCATCACCGTCGATCCTCAGCCTTGATCTCTCCTGACCCCCATAACTCTCTGCTCTCTCCAGCAGCAGCTCCGGGATTCCTCAGGACTCTTCCCAGTTGAGGGAAGTGCTGTGGGAGTTGCTGGGGTGGGGGGAGGCGAGAGGCTTTTGCCCATACCTGAATATATATCTGTATATAATTGTATATATTTTCTTGTATGATTCATTAGTGTTTTAATTAAAGCTGTGTAGTTTAGTTTTCAATCCGGCCAAGTCTCTCTCTTTTTCTCTCTCTCCTTCCCTACCTGGGTTGGGGGGAGGGGGGATCGAGAGCATTGTTGTCGGACCTGAGTCAAACTGTGACAATCTACAACATAGATCTTAGGACCAGGAAGCTAAAAGAAAAAAACCTAGTCTGGATGGGATATAAAGCACCAGGTCAGTATGAGTCTGGTCATCTCCAGACTCATCTAAAACAGGTACAAAGATTTCTGGAAGCAGCAGTGCACCAACAACACAAACTCAGGAGAAACAAAAGGATTAAGCCATGAAAAAGCTACAAACCACTTGTCCACTCACTTACTTGTTTGAAGCCATTAAACAAATTTACTGCTTGTGTTTCCACTGGCTCTGACTTCTCTCCTGCTGTAAGATGGAAGCTCTCTGTCTCACAGATTGGTTCCAAAGGAGCCATCTCAGCTGCAGGTGCTGCTGCAAAGATGAGAGTTTGACTGTTACTCTTTATTGGACTGATGGAGTGTTATGTACTTAAGCAGAAAGAGAAGAAAACTGGAAACAAGTCTGAAAGCCCTGGTGCTGTTTTAGTCACTTCTTGTAGCATTCACAGCCACCAGAGTCATGAGTATTCACTTAAAATGCGTCCTTCACTGTATTAATAAATTAAAACCAAACAAAACCCACTTCTTCCTGCAAGCATGCCAAGGGTTAAATCAATTGCTGGAATGATACTAAAACAAGTCATTCCCAGAAAAGTCAGGAATTTGGCAGGAACTGCATGTGATTTTCTGCCTCCTCTCACAGCTCCTATGAGGAGATCTGCAGTCTCCTCCCTTTTCTTTTGCTGGACACTGCAGCTGTGCAAACCTCCAGTCTCAACAAGTGCACTGGGAAGGCTTTACCAGCCTAAGGAGCAGGTGTTCAGGAGATCCTTCTAGTATTGTTATCTATTGCCAGGAATGACTAGAAATTCCAGTCCTAGACACACATTCAACAAGTCCAAACTCTGAACTGGCTAAACATCCCTTCTTCCACCTCACATCAAAAAACATTGGCAGCCAGTAGAAAGGTTCCAGTTAAGCTTTCTGCTAGCAAGACAAGTCCCTTATGACAGCTGCTTCTGCAGCACCCCACATCCCTCTGTACTAAAACCTAGGGGAACCAGCACTGCTACAGAAACTGGAAATGCAGCAACATCCATTTGAAACAGTTGCTTAGCTGCAGGGCTTGAGATCTATGTGCTTTCAGTTAAATAACACACTATCTCACCTTGCAGCATCTTTTTCTGGACCTCACTTTGCAGCATCTCTTCCCGGGTCCCAGTTTGCAGCATCTTTTTCTGGACCTCACTTTGCAGCATCTCTTCACGTGCTCCACCTTGGGGCATCTCTTCCCACACCTCACCTTGGGGCATCTCTTCCCACACCTCACCTTGGGGCATCTCTTCCCACACCTCACCTTGGAGTGCCTCTTCTTGTGTCCCACGTTGGGGTGCCTCTTCCCACACCTCACCTTGGAGTGCCTCTTCTTGTGCCCCACGTTGGGGTGCCTCTTCCCACACCTCACCTTGGAGTGCCTCTTCTTGTGCCCCACATTGAGGTGCCTCTTCCCACACCTCACCTTGGAGTGCCTCTTCTTGTGCCCCATCTTGGGGTGCCTCTTCACATACCTCACCTTGGAGTGCCTCTTCCCACACCGCACCTCGGGGTGCCTCTTCCCGTGCCCCACCTTGGGGCATCTCTCCCTTCTCTATCTCACTTGACACGCACTTCTTCAGAGTCAGCAAGGAACCTGCTCTTGTCTGCTCAACCACAACGATGTCAGACACACTTTTGAGGACTTCAAACAAGGAGAAAAATCCATATTGTTTGTACTGGAATGCCCGGCCAAAGCGTCTGAAGAAGGCCTCCTCCAAGTCGATGAGCAGAAGCGGTGAGGAACTCAGCAGGTCCTGCAGCTGAGCCTTCACTGTTGCTGGCAGGATGGGGGCCCTGACCCTCTGTGGATTCTTAGGAGGATGAGCAGCTCCTGCCTTCCCAGCAGCACCCTTCCGGGATTTAGCACATCTCTGTTTGGCAACCAGCTGGGCAATCATTTTTGTGTTCTCATCTGCAATGGCTACAACAGAAAGGAACTATTAGACTTATTAGAACAGCAAACTACTAGAAGCTCTACACAGGCAAAGCTCCTCTTCTTTCTTTCCTCTTCCCCATCCCTTTTCAGAAGCAGGTGTCTCCTTCAAAAGCAGCCACACTCAATCATGTCTGATTTCCAGCAGGCAACCACTCTTCCTCTCCCTTTGCAAACTGGACTGAACCATTTTTTTAGCAGCAAACAACCCATCTTCACCCTCATCCCTATAAATCCAGATCCAGCTAGGAAGGCAGGTCAAATTCTTGGATACAAGATTACAAAGCAAAGGTGGCTGCTGCAAGCTTTGTTGGGAAAAACAGTAAATGGCTCATTGCCTCCCTAAGCCAGAATCACAGTAAACCCCCACTGTGGAGCACCCACCCAGTCAAGGTCTCCCTGCAGAGCAGCCCAGGTCTCTTCCATGCTTTTCAACTACTTTTTTCTTGTCTTACTGGAGTGCTCTAAAAGAAAAGAAAATTTCACCCTTCCCAATCAATTATTTGCACCTACCATTTGTTTCCACAGCTCTTCCCCAGGGAAAAATAAAAATTAAAAAGAGCTTATTTGATACAGACTAAACT